CAGTGGTCTTGTATGTCTTCCATTTCCTAATAATTGCTCCCACAGTTGATTTCTTCAAATCAAGCTGCTTACCTATTGCAGATTCAGTCTTCCCAGCCTCGTGCAGGTCTACAATTTTGTTTCTGGTGTCCTTTGACAGCTCTTTGGTCTTGGCCATAGTGGAGTTTGGAATTTGACTGTTTGAGGTTGTGGACAGGTGTCCTTTATACTGATAACAAGTTCAAACAGGTGCCATTAATACAGGTAACGAGTGGAGGACAGAGGAGCCTCTTGAAGAAGAAGTTACAGGTCTGTGAGAGCTAGAAATCTTGCTTGTTTGTAGGTGACCAAATACTTATTTTCCACCATAATTTGCAAATAAATTAATAAAAAATCCTACAATGTGATTTTCTGGAGAAAATAAAACTAAATTTGTCTGTCATAGTTGACGTGTACCTATGATGAAAAGTACAGGCCTCTCTCATCTTTTTAAGTGGGAGAACTTGCACAATTGGTGGCTGACTAAATACTTTTTTCCCCCACTGTAGCAGGAGAGTTGGCTAGAGATGGCACACTCAAGTGTTTTGGAGAAAAAAAAAAAGGGATACTGGTCTGTAGTTGTTGACATCGGAGGGATCGAATGTAGGTTTTTTGAGGAGGGGTGCAACTCTCGCTCTCTTGAAGATGGAAGGGACGTAGCCAGCGGTCAAAAATGAGTTGATGAGCGAGGTGAGGTAAGGGAGAAGGTCTCCGGAAATGGTCTGGAAAAGAGAGGAGGGGATAGGGTCAAGCGGGCAGGTTGTTGGGCTGCCGGCTGTCACAAGTCGCAAGAGAGAGAGAGGGGAGAAAGAAATCAAAGCATAGGGTAGGGCAGTGTGAGCAGGACCAGCAGTGTCATTTGACTTAATAAATGAGGATCGGATGTCATCAACCTTCTTTTCAAAATGGTTGACAAAGTCATCCACAGAGAGGGAGGAGGGAGGGGGAGGAGGAGGAGGATTCAGCAGGGAAGAGAAGGTGGCAAAGAGCTTCCTATGGTTAGAGGCAGAGGCTTGAAATTTAGAGTGGTAGAAAGTGGCTTTAGCAGCAGAAACAGAGGAAGAAAATGTAGAGAGTAGGGAGTGAAAAGATGACAGGGAGTCTAGTTCTGTGAGCTCGCAATGAGTCGTCAAGCCACGGAGCAGGAGGGGAGAACCGAGCCGGCCGGGAGTCTACACCTTCACATTTCAGTCATTCCATGTTTGCTTCAAGCATTATATCATCTTGTAAAATAAAGTACATGTTGTACATGCTCTCTGTTTTCTGTATCTTGACATTTGTAAATGTTGCATTGGATAAACATTTTAAGTTGACTTGATGAAAGATGATTCATATAACTTTTGGTTTTGTTGGCCATTCTTGCTGTAGTCTGATCTTTTTGGGCCAGACTATGATCTATTAATGTTTAGGCTACTTCATGTTCATAAATTACCAAAATAAGGGGGCAGGGAGCAAACTTGACAGAAGTAAACATGGGTAGTGTTGTAGTAGCTAGCTAGCTAGAATGCATAGTTGATTCACATCATTGCCCTACTATGTAAACAGAGGACATCCAAGGAAGAAAATTAATAACTTGTGAAGTAAGGAAATGTTCAGCCTATAATTAGCTATCTAGTTAATTCATAACTAAAAAATACATTTCATTAGCCAGCCGATTTCGAGTTGATAGCAAGCATGCTACATTTATTAGTTGGCTGGCTTTCTATGGGTTGAACAATGCAAGCTGATTTTAGCAACTACTTGCTAGCCACAAGATCGTAACGTTTAACAGGTTGCAGTTGTCTAATATGTCACTCGTTTTAGTGTAGAAGGGTTGCTATAACGTTTTCAAAATGTATGCACCCTATTCATGAAGTTAGCGGCAAACTGTCCGAACTCCGAAAAACAGCAGATCATGATTCGTTCAATTGGAAATGGGGATATTCAACAAGCATAGGGTGCCACCTTGAAGTCTGATTGCACAGGCCCTTCATTATCATTGCTTTGTATCAACACATCAAAACAGCTATTCCAGAATCTCAAGTCAAGGACGTAGAGAGGCTGGTGTTGGCAAGACTAGTATCAATACACCCAGTCATTCCAAAAATACAGGTGTCCTTCCTAACTCAGTTGCTGGAAAGGAAGGAAACCACTCAAGGTTTTTCAACATGAAGCCAATGGTTACTTTAAAATAGTTACAGAGTTGAATTGCTGTGTTAGGAGAAAACTGAGGATGGATCAACAACATTGTAGTTACTCCACAATACTATCCTAAATGACAGAGAGAAAAGAAGGAAGCCTGTACAGAATATAAATATGCCAAAACATGTATCCTGCTTGCAATAAGGTTCTAAAATAAAACTGCAACAAATTTGTCAAAGAAATTTACTTTATGTCCTGAATACAAAGTGTTATGTTTGGGGCAAATCCAACAAAACACAACACTGAATACCACTCTCCATATTTTCAAGCATGGTGGTGGCTGCATCATGTTATTGGTATGCTTGTCATCGGCCAGGACTAGTGAGTTTTTTTGGGGGTGATAAAAATAAACGGAATAGAGCCAAAAACAGGAAATATCCTAGAGGAAAACCTGGTTCAGTCTGCATTCAAAAAGACACTGGGAGACAAATTCACCTTTCAGCAGGACAGTAACCTAAAACACAAGGCTGCAGGGCCAGACAGATTACCAGGACGTGCCCTTTGCTTAGTGGTGTTGCAGACTCTGGGGCCTTTCAGAACAGGTGTATATATACTGAGATCATGTGACAGATCATGTGACACTTAGATTGCACACAGGTGGACTTTACTTAGCTAATTATGTGACTTATGAAGGTAATTGGTTGCATCAGATCTTATAAAGGGACTCCATAGCAAATGGGGTGAATACATATGCATGCACCACTTTTCTGTTATTTATTTTTTAGAATTTTTTGAAACAAGTTATTTTTTTAATTTCACTTCACTAATTTTGACTATTTTGTGTATGTCCATTACATGAAATCCAAATAAAAATCCATTTAAATTACAGGTTGTAATGCAACGAAATAGGAAAAAGGCCAAGGGGGATGAATACTTTTGCAAGGCACTGTAACCTGCCTAAATGACTACTTACCCGTAGCACTCACGTCTGTAGCCATGAAGTGCTTTGAAAGGCTGGTCATGGCTCACATCAACACCATTATCCCAGAAACCCTAGACCCACTTCAATTTGCATACCGCCCCAATAGATCAACAGATGATGCAATCTCTATTGCACTCCACACTGCGCTTTTCCTGGACAAAAGGAACAGTGAGTATGCTATTCATTGACTATAGCTCAGCGTTCAACACCATAGAGACCTCAAACCTCATCACTAAGCTAAGGACCCTGGGACTAAACACCTCTCTCTGCAACTGGATCCTGGACTTCCTGACAGGCCGCCCCCATGTGGTAAGGGTAGGTGACAACACATCTGCCACGCTGATCCTCAACACGGGGGCCCCTCAGGGGTGCGTGCTCAGTCCCCTCCTGTACTCCCTGTTCACCCATGACTTCATGGCCAGGCACGACTCCAACACCATCATTAAGTTTGCCGACGACACAACAGTGGTAGGCCTGATCACCGACAACGATGAGACAGCCTATAGGGAGGAGGTCAGAGACCTGGCAGTGTGGTGCCTGGATAACAACCTCTCCCTCAACATGATGAAGACAAAGGAGATGATTGTGGACAACAGGAAAAAGAAGAGGACCGATCATGCCCCCATTCACAGCGACGGGGCTGTAGTGGAGCAGGTTGAGAGCTTCAAGTTCCTTGGTGTCCACATCACCAACAAACTATCATGGTCCAAACACAGAGGGCACGCCTATTCCCCCTCAGATCCTCAAAAAGTTCTACAGCTGCACCATCAAGATCATCCTGACTGGTTGCATCACTGCCTGGTATGGCAACTGCTCAGCTTCCGACCGCCAGGCACTACAGAGGGTAGTGCGTAAGGCCCAGTACATCACTGGGGCCAAGCTTCCTGCCATCCAGGACCTCTGTACCAGGCGTGTCAGAGGGAGGCTCCAAAAATCGTCAAAGACTCCAGCCACCTTAGTCATAGACTGTTCTCTCTGCTACCGCATGGCAAGCGGTACCGGAGCACCAAGTCTAGGTCCAAATGGCTTCTTAACATCTTCTATCCCCAAGTCATAAGACTCCTGAACAGCTAATCAAATGGCTACCCGGACTATTTGCTAGACAGCAATTGAAATGGCTGTCTAGCAATGATCAACAACCAACTTGACAGAGCTTGAAGAATAAAAAAAAAAAATAATGTGCAAATATTGGTGTGTGAATACTAATTTCAATGAGATATTTCTGTATTTAATTTTGAATAAATGTGCAAAAATGTATATATATATTTTTTCACTTTGTCATTATGTGGTATTGTGTGAAGATGGGTGAGAAGGTGTTTTAATCCATTTTGAATTCAGGATGTAACACAACAAAATGTGGAATAAGTCAAGAATAAATACTTTCTGAAGGTACTGTACAGTATGTGCTAGCTGGGATGCATTTGTGTGCAGTGTGCAGTGTGCAGTGTGTGTGTGTGTGTGTGTGTGTGTGTGTGTGTGTTTGCGTTTGTGGCGTGTGTGCATATCTGTGTGAAATGTTCACATGATGACACAACGGCAGGCTCCAGTAGACATCCAGTAGACATGCATACCTACATGTACAAATTACCTCGACTAACCTGTAACCCTGCACATTGACTCGGTACCGTTATTGTTATTGTATTGTGTTACCTTTTATTGTATATTTTACTTTAGTTTATTTAGTAAATATTTTCTTAACTCTATTTCTTGAACTGCATTGTTGGTTAAGGGCTTGTAAGTAAGCATTTCACGGTAAGGTCTACACCTGTGACAAATAAAATTTGATTAGATTTGATTTGAAGTGAAACAATGTCATGTTTGTTAGATGGTATATACAAAGGAGGTGGCAAGGGAGGGAGGGATAATGTATATATTCTCAATGAGGGAGGAGAGAGTGGAGCAATATAAAAAGAAAAGGAAGAAAAAACTGAAGAGGGATGAAAATCCCATTGTGAGAGAGTGGCGGTGGGATTACAATGAATTGTATTGGTTGGAAGCGGAGCAGCATGGTGTCATTGTTTAGTTTATTCAGACCATTATTGCCAGAGCTGCAGTCTTAAGTAGCCATTGATTCTTATTTAGGAGTACCCAGTCACGATTAAGAGGGTCGTAAATGTGGATTTAAAACAGGGATCCTCTGCGATAACTCTCCCTCTCTCCATCTACCTCTATTTCTCTCTCACCCTTTCCTTTCTCTTTCGTTCCCTCTGCTCGTCTTCAGGGCCTCTCTTCTTCTGACTCACTATATCTTTTCTCTATCTCCGTCAGTATGTTGATATACTTTCTTGTTCTGAAATGTTACTACCAATCATCACTACTCACACATGGTTCACTTCCTGTCCGTCACCATTCCCACTGTCTCCTGCAGCCTGTCGTCGTCTTCATAATATACATGAGAAAACAAGAGGACAGGTTAATATTAAGTCACCATCATCTTTATACATCAATGAGACACAGTGTATGGTTTCTGTATTCTTTGGATAGAAAATAAATATAAGACTAGTTAATGTGGAAATTGATGTAAAAGGCACACCAAAAGCATTGCAGATCCAGACACATTCTTTTCTCAAAGATTATAATCAGTAAAACACTAACCAACACATGATGATACAATCTCAGGTTTGCTGTTTGGTGTTTGAGACAATATCTGAAAGACCATTCCCTTAGTTAAATTCCGGATCAAGTTGAAGCAGACATGTGTTTGATCCAATGGCAGTGTTCTTTGGTTGTTAATTACCACTGACTTCATTTTTTCATTATGCGTTCCAAAAAAAGAAAGACAAAATAAATGAAAAGGGATTTGATTGGAAAAAAACGACTTTTCTCTCTATCTCTCCCACCCCCCTCTCTCTTTCACCCTGCACTAACTGCCTTTGTGTGCCCTGACTGTGGCTGCATATTGAGGAAATGAGCGGTGGCAGTGGGAGAGAATAGATATTAATTAAGCAGGGATTCAGCATTGACTCTGCCTTGTACATAAGACAAAAGGTTAAGTAAATGCCAGGGCTGCAGTGTCACTTCCACCAATGAGTATTAGCTTAGGAATCACTAATGTCTGCAGAGAAAACCCAGTCCAATTGGACTCCTGATTGCCAACCAGTGTGGGGGCCAGGGCTATTTCATTTCAATCTGTGGCTAAATTAGGTGGCTACGTCAGGTTAAAACACACAATTATCTGAGCTAGGAGGGGCACAGGGGGACTGGGACTTGGAACGCAGTGTGGGATTAAGATCGAACTCGCCAGCAAGGAAGATCAACTTTTTCAGTGGACTGCTGACAAATCAGAGAGGAGTATCCCTAGAGCATGGACCCTTAAGCCTCACCCTGCTCTGTTAACCTGCATTGTCTGTAGGTAATCGGGAAGAAACCCACAAATATACACATACTCCTCTGGGTGGGGAATTGGCCAAAATGGGATAGAAGAGAGACTGGTGTGTATTGAGAATAATATTTGATCTATTTGGTGGTGAATATGAATATGAAAATGTAACAGCTGCAGCTGGATTCAGTGCCACAACTATTAAAAAAGTGAATGATCCCATCGACTTAAATACTTCAATAGACTAGTTAGGCAGCAATGTTGTTAACATGTGACCAGTCACTTGCATTTTACATTATAAGTCCACAGTTCCTGTCCTCAACGACATTAAAGGCCCAGTGCAGTCAAGATTGTGATTTTCCTGTGTTTTATATATACTGTACCTCCACACTATGAGGTTGGAATAATACTGTGAAATTGGGAAAATTATGATTATGCCCTTTTAGTGTAAGAGCTGTTTGAAAGGACTACCTGAAATTTAAGTCTGTTTTGGTGGGATAGAGTTTTGGCCTGCCTGGTGACATCACCAGGCGGTGAATTGGTTAATAGACCAATAAGAAAGAGAGTTCCAAGCCTCTCTGCCAAAAACAGATAGTTTTTAGTTTTCCCCTCCCCATTCCCAGACAGTCTTAGCAAAATTATTTCTTGAGAAATTGCTCTTTGCTAAGAAGCTATTTTTGTTTGTTGTTCACCATTTTAATTTAAAACAATCACAGTGAGGTACTTAATTGTTACCCAGAAATGATTTGATATTGAGAAGGAAAAAAATTGCTGCATTTGATCTTTAACAAAAAAAATACTAATTCTGCAAGTGCACAAAAACTTGCCCATGGTCAAGAAATAGTTGATAGACCAAAAAATAATTTTTTAAAAATAAGTAAACAAGTGAGGCAGGGAGACTAAATATAGGCCTCTTTGTATTGAGAGAAATTGCAGAAGCGTTTGAGCATCGCTGAGGAGCCGTTTGGAACATATGGCGTTTTAATTCCTGTTTGTCTCATCTGGATAACTCCGGCCCTGAGATTCTCGCACCCACCATCAGAGAAAATCGTCAGAACTGGAATACTTAAGAACAAAGGGCTTAAATGTCTACCCTAATGGGTTGTATTCACAATTTCCCCCCTGCAAAATTATTAAACCGAGAGCTGCTGCGTTCATTAGTGATGTATTTTATTTTCATGAAATGTTATCCTCCCCTTCTCCTTCGCTTATTTTGTGTTGATTTCCCAGTTAGAGACACACTGAGTGGAGTCCTCAAGAAGACACAGCCCTGTCAACAATCACACACACACCTTCTCTCACATCTGACACTCAGCAGAACACTGCTATGTGAATAGGTTTGTGGCTGTTCATTTTTAATCGTGCACGCCTTTTGTACTGGTTGACAGCTAGCGAAAAATGACTAATAAGTCCAGTGCTGCTGCTATCCAGCTGTGCTGAAGCCTTTCTGAAGACAGAAACACAGAAACACACACACACAATGATGAAAACATACTGACACACACACCTACCCCCCCCCCCCCCCCCCCCCCTCCCCCCAACCCCAACCCCAAGTCCCCAACACACACACACAGACAAACACACAGTCTAATCATCCCCACTGTCTCGCACTCCGCTGGTAGTCACCAGAACACCACCCAGCCATCATGGACCAATTAACTGGTCATATTTCTGTCTTCAAGTCTAGGCTACTGTAGCTGAATGGACAGCACTGGAGTAGCAGCCTACTGTTCACGTACTGTACCTCAAGATGGCAGTTAATTTGTTGCATTGACTCCGTGCTGGTCATTGTGAAAAATGCAAAATTATTGCATGCTTTTTTCAGCCTTTTTCCTGCATATTTGGCCAGCTTTATCTAGGATCTCTAGTGGCACAGCTAGCACTGCGATGCAGTGCCTTAGACCACTGCGCCACTCGGGAGACTGTCATGACATTGTCTTGCTGAAACAGGAAAGGGGGTCCCCAAACTGTTCCCACAAAGTTGGAAGCACAGAATCGTCTAGAATGTCATTGTATGCTGTAACGTAAACATTTCCCTTCACTGGATCTAAGGCCTAGCCCGAACAATGAAAACAGCCCCAGACCATTATTCCTCCTCAACCAAACTTTACAGTTAGCACTATGCATTCGGGCAGGTAGCATTTTCATGGCATCCGCCAAACCCAGATTCGTCCTTCGGACTGCCAGATGGTGAAGCGTGATTCATCACTCCAGAGAACGTGTTTCCACTGCTCCAGAGTCCAATGGTGGCGAGCTTTACACCACTCCAGCCGATGCTTGGCATTGCGCATGGTGATCTTAGGCTTGTGTGTGGCTGCTCGGCCATGGAAACCCATTTCATGAAGCTCCCGACGACGTTGCTTCCAGAGGCAGTTTTGAACTCGGAAGTGAATGTTGCAACCGAGGACAGACAATTTTTCCACATTACGCGCTTCAACACTCGGCGGTCCCGTTCTCTGAGCTTGCGTGGCCTACCACTTCGCAGCTGAGCCGTTGCTCCTAGACATTTCCACTTCACAATAACAACATTTACAGTTGACCAGGGAATCTCTAGCAGGGCAGAAGTTTGACAAACTGATTTGTTGGAAAGGTGGCATCCTATGACGGTGGTTAAAAGGCACTGAGCTCTTCAGTAAGGGCCATTCTACTGCCAATGTTTGTCTATGGAGATTTCATGGCTGTGTGCTCGATTTTATACACCTGTCAGCAACGGGTGTGGCTGAAATAGCTGAATCCACTAATTTGAAGGGGTGTCCACATGCTTTTGTATATAGTGTATATCTCTTCTCCCTATAGAGCATTATATGTGTGTAATTGTATAGTAAAACATGGTCAGTGCTGACCCATATGGAGCTATCTGTATCATGAGGAGACCACATAAATCAGTTGAGTTGCCAGGTAACATGAAAAACGAACATCCCTGCTATACTAGCGGGGTCTGTGGAGCCATGTGTCAGTAAAGACCACTCTATGTAATTTGATGAGGTGCTGACTGACTGGTCTGACTATAAGTCAAAAACGGGAGGCATCTTAATGTGCTGAGGACAGGGGTATTAAACTGGGCTCGGACCAGGAGAAGTAAGAGCAGGGTGTGAAACTGTCATGTCACTGCTCTTAGTAGTCTACCACTATGAGTGACACGTTAAAATGATGTTACTGGACAGGATGTGTAAAGAGACAAAGTGGCGCCAAGTATAACACAGTTTAGAGAAACACACACAGACCTCGACCAAGAGTGACAGAGCCCCTTCCTCCCCCTCTATCCACTCTTACACCCCCCTCACCAAATACACAACAGGGACCCTCTGCTACACAGACCCTCTGCTATAGTTTAATGCCAAACAGAGAGACAGAGAAGGGGAGGGAGAGGGAGGGAACCCTCATGCTGACATCCAATGCAGACTCAGATGCCTCTGTATTGCAGCATAGCAATACATGCTGGAACAATGACAATACACTACTGCAGCTAAGTACGCCACCATCAGGTATATACACAGAACTACATACAATACAAAGGTTAAGCTCGACAATCAGGTCTGGATTGAGTGTGTGTGTGTGTGTGTGTGTGTGTGTGTGTGTGTGTGTGTGTGTCTCTGTGTGTGTGTGTACAGAGCATTCGGAAAGTATTCAGACCCCTTGACATTTTCCACATTCTGTTACGTTACAGCCTTATTCTAAAATAAGGGCCTTGGTCAGAGCTCCAGAGTTCCTCTGTGGAGATGGAAGAACCTTCCAGAAGGACAACCTTCTCTGCAGCACTCCACCAATCAGGCCTTTATGGTAGAGTGGCAAGACGGAAGCCACTCCTCATGCAAATGACAGCATGCATGGAGTTGTCAAACGGCACCTAAAGGACTCTCAGACCATGAGAAACAAGATTCTCTGGTCTGATGAAACCAAGATTGAACTCTTTGGCCTGAATGCCAAGCGTCGCATCTGGAGGAATCCTGGCACCATCCCTACGGTGAAGCATGGTGGTGGCATCATCATGCTGTGGGGATGTTTTTCAGCGGCAGGGACTTGGAGACTAGTCAGGATCGAGCTAAAGATGAACGGAGCAAAGTACAGAGAGATCCTTGATGAAAACCTGCTCCAGAGTGCTCAGGACCTCAGATTGGGGTGAAGGTTCACCTTCCAGCAGGACAACGACCCTAAGCACACAGCCAAGACAACGCAAGAGTGGCTTCGGGACAAGCCTCTGAATGTCCTTGAGTGGCACAGCCAGAGACCGGACTTGAACCCGATCTAACATCGCTGGAGAGACCTGAAAATAGCTGTGCTGCGACGCTCCCCATCCAACCTGACAGAGCTTGAGAGGATCTGCAGAGAAGAATGGGAGAAACTCCCCAAATACAGGTGTGCCAAGCTTGTAGCATCATACCCAAGAAGACTCGTGGCTGTAATCACTGCCAAAGTTGCTTCACCAAAGTACTGAGTAAAGGGTCTAAATACTAATGTAAATGTGATATTTCAGTTTTTTATGTTTAATACATTTGCTAAAAAATCAAAAACCAGTTTTTGGTTTGTCATTTTTGCTTTGTGTGTAGATTGATGAGGAAAAAAAACAATTTGATCAATTTTAGAATAAGGCTGTAACATAACAAAATGTGGAGAAAGTGTGTGTGTGTGTGTGTGTGTGTATTGGGGGCATCACAGCTCTCTGACTTCAAACAAACTAACACATATCAAAAAAGCCGCTATTTGTTTATTCTGCGAGCACTAGCGTTACATCACTTTTGAGTGGAGATGTTTTTAGGTTAAATACTGTGTTTAGGATAATGGGAAACTGGTCTGGGGTGGGCTAAGGGCTGGATGGCATTCTCCAACAGTCGAATGGGAAACCTTTTTTAAATAGGAATTTGGACAGTGCAGCGCCGACTCCCGGACCCTCCCTGGAACATGGGTGTCTGTGATCAGGGTGGGTATTTTAAGAAAAGCAGGGTCTGGAACCCTAATCCTCCGACACCCAACAAAGCCCACTACCCATCTGCCAGGCTCAGCCCCCTTCAGTTCAGTACAGCCCCAACAAGGTCCCAAGACAATGCCTCTTCCATTACCCCCAGGACAAATATCAAGACAGCAATATTTTCCTCTCGTACATGCCTAACATGGTGCACTCCTCCTGGGCTGAGAGAGAGAGGAGAGAGCGAGAGAGCGAGAGAGCGAGAGAGAGAAAGCGAGTGATTATTCTAATTTACTACCTGATGTATATCTAAATGAAGTGACATCAGAGTCAGGGGATGGACACAACACAATCACCTGGGGGCCCAGATAGGAGGGCTACTCTCTACCAGAGTAATTTGAGGCATCTGAGTGAGTAACCCTAGCAACACCACATGCAGCGGGGACTTCCAGAGGTATTATTTTGTTTTGTATTACTTTTTGGGGAGATTGAGGGGGGAGGAAGGGAAGGGGAAGGGGGAGGGGTTAGAAAGCATGTCTCCATAGGCTTCCTGACAAACATTATTCAACGGCATTCCCATCTGTGTGTTAGGACATGGTTACAATGACATCAAAATAACAACATACTGTATTTGAATAGAAGTTAGTTGTGTAGGCCTACACTCTGACTATTTTGAATAATATATAATTTATATGTCGTTTCAGACCATATTTTATGTGGAATTTGTGGTAGGGTCATACTGTAATTGTTCAGATGACAGTACAGAATTGCAGAATGTAAAGCATGAAAGAAGTCTACTGAGTGTGTGTATGATGACTGGCATAGTATGGCCCCTGTTGACAGGCCAGCTGTGGTTCTAGGCTCTGTGCTTACAGCTGGGTCATCCATCAAGGTCTGCCTAACGATAACACTAACCTGTGGTTGACCAGGGACATGCATGAGAATTGACCCTAAAATTTTGGTTGGCCTAATACCCTAACACTCCTGTTGTTCACCCTTCACCTACCAATAGACCCAACCCAACCTCAACCACACACATTACAGGGACCATAACTAACCCTAACCCTACCACATTTAGCGTGGGCAACTAACCACTGAATTGACATATTTCTTCGATAATGATGTGAGCTCTATCATAATGCATCATTATAGTTGCTTCACTCCTCTCTTTAGTCTTCCACTTTGACCCAAGCGACCTAGACGGCATTCCCATTGCCTATAGACCTAGAGAACCAAGCATGTTCATACTCAACGTTCCCCCCTACCTCCTCCAAGCCTCTTTCCCCTGTAGGCCTCCCCCTAATTGTGAACCTCAGTGAGAGAGAGGAGGCTGATGAAGACTGTTTGACACACTGCTGCAGGCAAAGGAAGGGAAATTTGATTGAACTTTGATGAGAATTATATTAAGGTCGCGTTCATTTGAGGCTATGAAAGTTTTCTGCATGCGCTCAATGTCAGAAGTGGTGTGTGTCTGTTCTACCGTTGGCCGTGATTCCTCGTTATACATCTGGGATGCACATGGAAATCAGGCATTAGCTTTCAAACATCGTTTCTTGATGTATCCTCTGATTTCTAAGAAGTTGATGTAAAGTATACATGTGTAATGAATAGGATCCACTTTCTCAAACCAGAGCCTGGAGGTTCCAGGTACTCCTGGTTATTCAAGATCAGCAGCCCTTAGTCTAGGTAGACTCCAGAAATAGTGATGAGATCACAGGAATAATATCAAGTCCTTTCATAGAATATAAAAACATCAGTTAATTAAAATAGGTTGAGATAAAATAGTTTGACAAAAGGATGATGAGCATTCCATTAGGCAGTTGTGTTGGCATTGGCATGGTCGAGTGCGGGTGAGGAGGGTGGGGGATATTGCTGTGAGGATGCCATCTGGCATTGGTGCTTTCCACTCGGCTCTGCCTGTTTCCTCTGTGCCGGATCCAGATCACTGCACACATACTGGCTCATAGACACACACACACACATTTCGTCAGAGTGCACTAATTGCAACCTGCGCTTGTCAATCAAACGCTCTTGTTGCTATCTTCTCATCATTAAATTGTCTTAATGGTTGATCATTTTCTCTAACCCTCCAATTTAATGTGTCACTAGGGACACCGTTTCTATACACCAGAATACATAACTTAAATGACAGATATTCAAAGTATAGCCAATGCAATGCAATGTAGGATATACTTTGCATATCAAGGCAGTAAGCATCAAAACTGCAGTCAAACTCTTGGATTTCAATTCCCTTTTTTTTCTGCAATGTCTACCGTGCACTACTGTGTACTGCTGTCAACACAAATTAACAAACTTTAACAGTGTGAATCTAGCATTTCCCAACTGTCTTCAATTTCCCCTCTTTCTTTCCTTCAAACTCCAAACTCAGCTGTGTTTTTATAGGACGTTTGTTTTGTTTGTTTACATGGACAGGTGTTGCAGAGGAAAGACATCTAACCAACTACTGTATCACCTTCATTTAGTGGTGTATTTTTGGCTTTTTTATCTTTAAGCAGTCCAGGGTCCTACAAGACAATATGCTGGGTTTTGTTATGCATGTTTTGCATGTGTAATTCTGTAAAATAATAATCAGAAATGGACATGACCGCACCTATTTTGAAGAGAGCCTGCTACACACAATAACAACTTTGGAAATGGTTTCAGGGAAGTAACATATCTATATAAAGTAATTCATTTTTACATATTTAAAACCTGCTATTTACCTTATTTTGTGTACAGAACAGGTTGTGCAGCTTTCTAACCTATCTCCATGCTAAAACCTTCACTAAGTGCCAAGATGTTGCCTCCTATTTGTGAGACGAGGCCCTGGTTAGGTGTAAACGAATGGGCATATTGAATAACCTCTAGAGGAGATAATTTACTGTGCTGTCGTGCTGCTCACTTCATCATTGTGTCACTGAGTGTGAAGTGTGTGTCTTCATCATTGTGAAGATGCAGAGAGCTGAGCGCTGTTAGGATTATAGACTGTTTCAGATGGAGATTTAAACCTATTCCTAGCGTTCCTTTCTTCCTTCCTTCCTTCCTTCCTTCCTTCCTTCCTTCCTTCCTTCCTTCCTTCCTTCCTTCCTTCCTTCCTTCCTTCCTTCCTTCCTTTAAATGCTTGAGCCACAAAAATCCAACCACGATTTTGTCCTAAAACGAGGTCATGGCTAACATCACTTAGCATTCATAATCACACTCTCCCCACCATAGTACTTCTAGATGCTCTCCCCACCATAGTACTTCTAGATGTTTCCCATGAATAACTATAAACACATAACACGCATCAAAAATGTGCGTCAGCCGGGAAGAAATCAATTTGGGGAGTCTTCAGAAGCCCCACTTCAAGCAAGCTGGTGGGCGAGACAAAGCGGAGATGGTAATCGGTAAAGGTTGTGGTGTAATGCTTTCTCTTTTAGCTTGGCCAGCACCTGAAGCCCAAGGCTTAATTAGCACCATAAGACATACATTACCAGACGAGACGCAAATGCCATCAAATCACTAACATCACTGCTCTAATGGATCTTATCGCAATCCTATGTGATGAGGTGTGAATGAAGGAGTCAGGCGCAGGAGGTAAAACACCGAAGTCCAGAGTTTATTCCGTTTACATAAATAAAACGCACCCAGTGTCAAAACGAAATGTTCACAAGGGAAATATTCCACCTTGGCAAATACAAATGGAAGCGTAGCTCAACTGAGCTACTTGCTCTCACAATGAAACAATCACTCACAAAGACAAGGGGAACAGAGGGAACACTTATACACATACTAATTAGGGGAATGAGCACCAGGTGTGTGTGATTGACAAGACAAGACATGACAAGTGGAGTGATGAGAATGGGATCGGCAGTAGCTAGTAAGCCGGTGACGACGAACGCCAAAACCTGCCCGAACAAGGAGGGGAGGCAGCCTCGGCGGAAGTCGTGACATCCTAATCATCGCCATCCTATAAGGTGCTACACAGTCACTGGCGTAACACCCCCCTACTAATGCAAGGGTTTTTCTTAATTTTTACTATTTTTTACATTGTAGAATAATAGTGAAATCATCCAAACTATGAAATAGCACGCATGGAATCATGTAGTAACCCAAAAAGTGTTAAACAAATCAAAATATATTTTATATTTGAGATTCTTCAAATAGCCACCCTTTGCCTTGATGACAGCTTTGTACACTCTTGGCATTGATAACATTTGTTAATGGATAATCATCTATATTCTTCTTTTAACAGATGTCCCATGCAAAGAAGGACAACACAAGGGTGATCAAAGAAAAGATGACCAAGAAATTTGCACATCGAAGACAGGAAGTCATCAACCCGTGTCCCGGTGTTGAATACATGAAAGACAGATGGCCTGCTCTGTTTGAAGCCCAAAAACACAATACCAAGTGAAATATCTTTACTATGACAAACCTCTTATGAGCCTTGCTTGACTATATTTCAGTACTTGTCTTTCAGATAAATGAAGAATTCCAGAGGCTCACCACAAACCATCTTGAGCCAAGGTTTATGGCCATGTTGGACCAGGACGCCCCTAAGCTGCTGTCCTTATTCCATTCCAAGGGAGGAGCACTTGGACACAGATTGCGGGTCATGCTGGATGTCCTACTCCAGGTAAATAATTCTCAGGACAAAATTCACTTCTATATTTAGTTGGCTGATGTTCTGTGCTGCAATTTAAGCCATAGGCCCTGCTCTGCTACCCAAGAATTGTACGCCTTCTAGTAATACAGGATACTTGGATCGGTGAATGCATAGATTTCACTCCTTCACATGCACAGATTCAATCCAATGAAAACAGTGATTTTATTCTATATCAGGGTCATGATGTGAGATCAGTGAGGAATTTTTGTTCAGTGTTACTGAGCAATGAGCAATTAATGGTACGTGGTTTGTGTTGAATACCTAATTTCAGAAGCCATTGACAAGAGATGTGGTTTTACGTTGCTAGATTGACTACCTGGCTGAAGATGGAGGTGACCTCATTAAAGACTACCATGTGGGGGCAATAAAGCATTTTCTGACCTGAATATTCTATCACCTGTGTGTGTGTATGTGTGTGTGTGTGTGTGTGTGTGTGTGTGTGTGTGTGTGTGTGTGACAAAGAGAATGTTCACTGCATTCTGATAATAATAAGGGCATCTTGTAATCCAGCTTGATTTAAATTTGCATGTAAAATGTGTTCCCAATATTGAAAGAATGTCATTCTTTTTGTGTTCTTTTTTTATAGGAAGTTGAAGGGGGTGATGTCCTGCAGGAACTTGCGCAACATGTAATGAAAATATATGTGATCAAGAAGGAGGGTGCCATGGCGAGTGATGATCCAGAGGAGATAGGCATCGTCCTAGAGGGTGTCTTGATCACCGGTCTGGGCAATGTCACACAGGCTTGTGCCATTCTTCTTAGCATGACATATGCTCTGAATCTCAGCTACCCCAAAAAGCTGAAGTACACGTTCGAGGCATTCCAGAAACTGTTTGTGCAGCTGGACTGCTCAAAGCTCACAGTCAAGATGACAGCCCTCAAGAACAAATTACTGTCTTAAGCAGAATGACAGCCCAGAGGACAATTGTTATAGACTGAATTTCAGGGTTACTTTGTAACACCTTCGTAGTTAAACACTGAGGAGCCTCTGAAACTCTTCTCTCCCTTCATTTGTTCTGGTAGCAGGTCAGGAACGGTGTCCTCTTCTTGTTGACACCGCCTGGGGCACAGAATCTGTGCTGGGACCACCCTCTGCATACCAGGGGATGGTCACCGAGAGGCAAGGCTCGAGCACATTGCGGTCTGGGACCACGTCCCCGATCGGCCCGCTGCAATGATCTATGCTAAATAAGTTAGAGGTTAAGGAAGACACGTTTATTCTTCAAGTTGTGATTGAAAGGTTCACTGCCACGGTATTTAAGTTGTGTTTTGTATACAAAGATACCAATAGGTGTTTTTAATTAAGGATATCATTGTAAAATATCATGTCAATTTTGTTCCCATATGGTTGATATTTGAATAAGTTTGACAATTTTGAGGTTTCATCAAGGTACCAACATTTTACCACAGTTATTTTGAAAATTCTACTAGGGTCTGTCTGCACAGTATGGTTGTTATGACATCACAATGATACCTGCATCACTGATAGTCTACCTGCAGAATTTCTATGTCACGCTCTGGCTCCGGGACTTTGTATGTTGAGCCAGGGTGTGTTCGTTTCGTGGTGTTCTGTTTGGTTGGGTTGTTCTATGTGGTTGTATTTCTTTGTGTGAATGAGTGACTCCCAATCAGAGGTAACGAGTGTCAGCTGTTGGCTCGTTGTCTCTGATTGGGAGCCATATTTAAACTGTCTGTTTTCACCTTGGGGTTGTGGGTTTTTGTTCCGTGTTCAGTCAGTGTTACTGTGGACTTCACGATCGTGTTTTGTTTGTATTTAGAAACTTTATTTAAATAAAGTCATGTTTATTTCACACGCTGCGCCTTGGTCTACTACTCCTCTTCAAGACGACCGAGGACAGAAAAACCCACCGTAAAAAGACCAAGCAGCGTGTCCAGGAGCAGGCAGACTGGACATGGGAGGAGGCGCCAGGAAAGGAGATAGAGAGGCTGGCGATGGCCCAGGTGGGCAAAGTGTGGTCCTGGGAGGACATGCTCGGGGGCAAGGGACCTTGGGGTAGGATCAAGGCCCTGGCGAGAGAGGAGCAGCGGCGTCAGCAGTGCCATCGTCGGACGGACGAGAGGCACCCCCAAGAATTTTTTAGGGGGGGGCACACGGCATGGGCGACTGGGCAGCAGGAGGCTGCCACAGGGCGAAATAGGAGAAGAGGAGAGAAGGCCACCGGGTTACGGGAGCCATTGGCGAGAGGAGGGAAGGAAGTCGTAGAGGCACGGCGAGAGGGACTGAGGTGGATTGCCAGTCCGGTCCGGCCCGTTCCTGATCCCCGTTTAAAGCCAGTGGTGTGTGTTCCCAGTACGGTCCGGCCTGTCCCTGCTCCACGCACCAAACCTACGGTGTGCGTCGCCAGCCCAGCCCGGCCTGTCCCTGCTCCACGCATCAAACCTACGGTGTGCGTCGCCAGCCCTGCCCGGCCCGTTCCTGCTCCTCGCACCAAGTCTACGGTGTGCGTCGACAGCCCTGCCCGGCCTGTTCCTGCTCCACGCACCAAGTCTACGGTGTGCGTCGGCAGCCCAGCCCGGCCTGTCCCTGCTCCACGCATCAAACCTACGGTGTGCGTCGCCAGCCCTGCACGGCCCGTTCCTGCTCCTCGCACCAAGTCTACGGTGTGCGTCGACAGCCCTGCCCGGCCTGTTCCTGCTCCACGCACCAAACCTACGGTGTGCGTCGCCAGCCCTGCCCGGCCTGTTCCTGCTCCACGCACTAAACCTACGGTGTGCGTCGCCAGCCCTGCCCGGCCTGTTCCTGCTCCACGCACCAAACCTACGGTGTGCGTCGCCAGCCCAGCCCGGCCTGTTCCTGCTCCACGCACCAAGCCTACGGGGTGCGTCGTCAGCCCGGCCCGGCCTGTCCCTGCTCCATGCACCAAACCTACGGGGTGCGTCGTCAGCCCGGCCCGGCCTGTCCCTGCTCCACGCACCAAACCTACGGTGTGCGTCGCCAGCCCTGCCCGGCCTGTTCCTGCTCCACGCACTAAGCCTACAGTGTGCGTCGCCAGCCCAGCCCGGCCTGTTCCTGCTCCACGCACCAAGCCTACGGGGTGCGTCGTCGGCCTGGTCCAGCTCGTTCCTGCTACTCGCACCAAGCCAAGGGTGCGAGTCGTCAGCCTGATCCAGCCCATTCCTGCTACTCGCACCAAGCCAAGGATGCGAGTCGTCAGCCTGGTGAGGTCCGTTCCGGCTCCACGCACCAAGCCAAGGGTGCGTATCGTCAGCCAGGTCCGGTCCGTTCCTGCCTCACGCGCCAAGCCAGGGGTGCGCGTCGTCAGTCCGGTGCCTGATCAGGTCAGCTACTCCACTACGGAGTTTGAGCAATCCGCTCCGTCTATGTCCGGTCCAGATCCAGCCAGCGGGGTCAGACCGGTCGGGGGCGCTACGGGGGGATTGTGGAAGGGTGGTGGTCAAGCCCGGAGCCGGAGCCGCCTCCGAGGAGAAATGCCCACCCAGCCCTCCCCTGTTTGGGGTTTTGAGGCGCGGTCGCAGTCCGCGCCTTTAGGGGGGGGTACTGTCACGCTCTGGCTCCGGGACTTTGTATGTTGAGCCAGGGTGTGTTCGTTTCGTGGTGTTCTGTTTGGTTGGGTTGTTCTATGTGGTTGTATTTCTTTGTGTGAATGAGTGACTCCCAATCAGAGGTAACGAGTGTCAGCTGTTGGCTCGTTGTCTCTGATTGGGAGCCATATTTAAACTGTCTGTTTTCACCTTGGGGTTGTGGGTTTTTGTTCCGTGTTCAGTCAGTGTTACTGTGGACTTCACGATCGTGTTTTGTTTGTATTTAGAAACTTTATTTAAATAAAGTCATGTTTATTTCACACGCTGCGCCTTGGTCTACTACTCCTCTTCAAGACGATCGTGACATTCTATTGGGAACTTTAATGCGAACCTTTTTTTAAAAGCCTCTAAACTAGACCATTTATGGTTTAAATAAAAATATTACACAAGTAATATAGGTGGCATCCATCGGCAGTGTTTGTGAACAGAGAAATGTTATAGGAAGAAACTAGTAAAAGTGTTTAGATTACATGATTATTGTGGTTGTCATCTTTCTTTTATTTAGCCTTGTAGGCAACATTTTAGTATGAAAAATATCCCACAGTACAAACATGAGCTATGTGAGCCTCCATGAGCCCCCATTTTTGTAGTTATCCATGGTTACTATGAGAATATTTTGGTCCTCATGAAGTCTATGGAGTTGAAACACCATTCTATCTCTTCTAAGTAGATGATTCTGCCCACAGAGATCCTATACTAGCTAGTGGTAGTGTTCTAGTTCCTAATTCTAGGGTTTTGCCTACCTGCAGCAATCAGGACGTACCTGCAATGTTGATTGCAATTCTGTAATTTGTCAACTAATAATTTGAGAATCATTGCTGCTGCTTTTGTACTGTTTAATAATAACTGTTTTGCAAACCGTTGATGTTTAAATAAATGGTTTTCAACGATTCCTGGTGTCCTGATACATTTTCTCTTAAGTGATCTGATTTTGAACATTTCTGTTGGTCTAAATTAATATATAATGTAACAATTAGTATATAATAGGATTAATCATTCAGTTAAAATAACACAATTTCATGGATACAGTGAGGGAAAAAAGTATTTGATCCCCTGCTGATTTTGTACGTTTGCCCACTGACAAAGAAATGATCAGTCTATAATATTATTTGAACAGTGAGAGAGAGAATAACAACAAAAAAATCCAGAAAAACGCATGTCAAAAATGTTATAAATTGATTTGCATTTTAATGAGGGAAATAAGTATTTGACCCCCTCTCAATCAGAAAGATGTCTGTCTCCCAGGTGTCTTTTATACAGGTAACGAGCTGAGATTAGGAGCACACTCTTTAAGCGAGTGATCCTAATCTCAGTTTGTTACCTGTATAAAAGACACCTGTCCACAGAAGCAATCAATCAATCAGATTCCAAACTCTCCACCATGCCAAGACCAAAGAGCTCTCCAAGGATGTCAGGGTCAAGATTGTAGACCTACACAAGGCTGGAATGGGCTACAAGACCATCGCCAAGCAGCTTGGTGAGAAGGTGACATCAGTTGGTGTGATTATTCGCAAATGGAAGAAACACAAAATAACTGTCAATCTCCCTTGGCCTGGGGTTCCATGCAAGATCTCACCTCGTGGAGTTGCAATGATCATGAGAACGGTGAGGAATCAGCCCAGAACTACACGGGAGGATCTTGTCCAATGATCTCAAGGCAGCTGGGACCATAGTCACCAAGAAAACAATTGGTAACACACTACGCCGTGAAGGACTGAAATCCTGCAGTGCCCGCAAGGTCCCCCTGCTCAAGAAAGCACATATACCGGGCTGTCTGAAGTATGCCAATGAACATCTGAATGATTCAGAGGAGAACTGGGTGAAAGTGTTCTGGTCAGATGAGACCAAAATTGAGCTCTTTGGCATCAACTCAACTCGCCGTGTTTGGAGGAGGAGGAATGCTGCCTATGACCCCAAGAATACTATCCCCACCGTCAAACATGGAGGTGGAAACATTATGCTTTGGAGGTGTTTTTCTGCTAAGGGGACAGGACAACTTCACCGCATCAAAGGGAAGATGGACGGGGCCATGTACCGTCAAATCTTGGGTGAGAACCTCCTTCCCTCAGCCAGGGCATTGATAATGGGTCGTGGATGGGTATTCCAGCATGACAATGACCCAAAACACACGGCCAAGGCAACAAAGGAGTGGCTCAAGAAGAAGCACATTAAGGTCCTGGAGTGGCCTAGCCAGTCTCCAGACCTATATCCCATAGAAGATCTGTGGAGGGAGCTGAAGGTTCAAGTTGCCAAACGTCTGGCTCGAAACCTTAATGACTTGGAGAAGATCTGCAAAGAGGAGTGGGACAAAATCCCTCCTGAGATGTGTGCAAACCT